CTCTGTGAGCTCCCGGACTGGAGCGGGCTCTGGAGTGGGCTCTGTGAGCTCCCGGACTGGAGCGGGCTCTGGAGTGGGCTCTGTGAGCTCCCCGACTGGAGCGGGCTCTGGAGTGGGCGTTCCTGTCTTCCTTCTCACCCTCCACCGCTTAGTGGGAGTCTGAAGGATAGAGGTGGTGGGAAAATCCCTAGATTTTTTAGTGAGCGAATGTTTAGAAATGCTAACTTGATGGCGTTACTTTTTGTCTCTACAGAAATCTTAGTTTTGATGCATAATAGGCCGCAGATTAGATGGGCCAGCTGTACGGCATGAGAAGGCCTTAGACTTTCTATCACGTGATAAAACAGAAGTAGAGAAAGCTATGAATTTAAATCGAATTACAAGTAGTTCATTTTTGGAATCTGATTACGTAATCCAGATTACATGTAATCAGTTATTACCCAGCTCTGCTCCCAGGTATAGGTGTGCATATACTTGCTGAAACATTATTACATAATAACGTTAGCAAGCTGGAACAGAGCAGATACACACATTCAAGGTATTTTTGTAGTTCCTTTCACAGACATCCACACAACCACAAAGAAACAAATCACAAAACAAACACAATGCCAGGCCCACACAACGAGATACAATAATGATGCAAAATTCATAATGTCATCAATTTTGCAATGTCAATCCCTTATAAAGAACATTTCTCAATCACACGTGTGAGAGTCTCACTAGTTTATAGTAACAGAACAATATGCTCTCACATTTAGTCACACACCCTGCTGAGTATTCAAACCTGTGATGTCTTGTACATCTTTTTTCTTTACTTCAATTAAGTTCCATCTCATTAGTAATGAGTTTTATCAGGCTCAATATGAGGGATCATGGGAAAATGGCACACTAACACAATAAAAATTTCCCTGAGGTGACTTCTTGTTAACAAATGTGTTTGTGTTTGAGATTCAGCCTAGGCATTAATGTTGAATGATGTGTGTCTTTTACTGAGTCACATGATCAATATTTGTGTATTTGCTCTGAAATGGCTTAGAAGGACCAATCAGTTTAACCAAATAAGCATTGACAAATAGATTTAAAAAATGTTAAATGCAATAAATACAGTAAAAATAACCAAAACATGTTTTCACTCTACTTTTCACTAACTAAATAAGAAAACTGATTATTTTTATGTACCATATAACAAAAAAAAGGAATATTATATTATATTATTAACATTATGTATAAAAAATACCACATATGGAGATTTGAACATTTGTGTGTGATGCCGCAAATGAATCTTGTTTTGAATTGATTCAGTGAAATGGATTGCTTGTAAAATTATTACAAATAGATTGTGAATATTTAGCATCATACAACTTGTTCTTCACACATTTTCTATGCCACTTCCAACATCATCTATTTTTACTTCCTTTTCAAATTACAATGTGCCAAAACAACTTTGTAGTACTCAAAATCACACTTAATTTTTTTTGTGGGTTTGTGTAGTGCAATTTGTGTAGTGTGATTACTTTTGACATTTTAGGCTTAGGCTTGCTGGTTATTGGGTTTAAATTGTAATAATTTTTTGTCCATGTTTCATTTATGACTGTATAATTTTTCATTTTATTCTGTGTTTATTTGTTTTTATTGTGCATTTGTGGGCATCTACTTATTTGTGTTTGTGTGGATGTCTGTTACTATGTAGTCATGAATTACCATGAAAATAATCTCTGTGATTTCGAGTATGTTGCAAAATATTACCTTTGACGGAATGAATGAGAGCATGTGTGCTAGCCTGAATACAAACAGTGTGAGTGTAATCACAGAAAATATGAGTCACCACCACTGTACACACTCCCCTGCCTGTGTGTACGTGCATGTTTGTGCATGTGTATGTGTGCATTATCCATTCACACAGTCTTGATAAAGGGGGGAAAGTTATGATTGTAAACACAGACTGACATGTCACAGTGGTTTTAAGAGGTAAAAAATGTATGGGTCTCAGGATAACAGAGTTATGTTTTCATGCTTCCAGGTATTTACTTTCAGTAATCCTTACCTCAGTATTTCTAATCCAAGGCTTTTATAGGTGTGGAAAGCACAATAACACACACAGACATCACAAATTGATTCAGATCTGATTTAACTCAAATGCCCTCCATGTATTTATTCACTTGTTAGCTACTGATTATTGTTTAGTTTCCCACTGTTGCTCTGATGATGAACAGTAACTGAACATTACACTTCGAGGCAAAATTACAGTATTGCATTATACTGCATGAAGTAATGCAGTGTATGTGACCCTGTAGGCCTATTTAAAATTTGAATTGTATTGAGTCATATCCTTTCAGGGAACCACTTCACCTAGTCTCAGTGATTTGTTCATGAATCAGACTGATCCAGTTCACAAGACTCAAGGAGAATCATTGGAATTAGTGTCTCAATTATCCAGCTCATTTGTGGGTAAGGTTATCTGTGAATGTCTCTTCCTCTCACAAAGCTAATAGGCTACTTCAGAAGACTTTATGTTGCATGCTAACAAAGTCATACTTGTTGTAATGAGCTGCAAGTACTTTTTATGTTATTTTACAGATTTATTTTTTACATTGTAGGCTATACTGTATTTATATAGAGAGAGAGAGTGACCGAAGAGTACAGTCAGCCATCTATGCTCGTAAACATATGTACAAGTACCACAACTTCCTCATTTGCAAAGAAGGGGGTATGTTTATATACCTCCCCAGAAATAGCGCCAACTACAACCCACCAATCATCACACAGAGGGACATACCGATGACCAATCCTCAACCAGATCGGCAGACGGACTCACCCATTGGGTGGAGTTGAGACGGTGGGCGGGGCACTAGCCGGTCGCTTCTGATTTGTCCGCTGGTGACGTCACTCAATGCGTTTCGCTTGTTTTGAAATTGGAAGTTTGCAGCGCTTCTGTGCAGCCGAGCGTCCGCTAAAGACAAACAAACTGTTGCCTTACCTCCGCAAGACAGCGGGAAAGCGCCTTCTCCAGGATTTCCAGCTGGGTTTGACAGATCTGGGCGTGTGGGAGGAATATGGATGTTATTCCCATGTGTAGTATTTTCCAGGAGCTACAGAGTGTCCTTGACACGGGATACCTGTCCGCATTACCATCTCTAGAGGAGTACTGGCAACAGGTAATATAAACCACCAGCTTTATTCATCAAATACTTTGATATATATATATATATATATATATATATATATATACATGCACACTACCGTTCATAAGTTTGGGATCAGTAAGAGTTTTAATATTTTTTACCGAAGTTTCTTGTGCTCGTCAAGGATGTACTTATTTGATCAAAAATACCATAAAAAAAACCTTGTTATTTTGTGAATTATTATTGCAATTTAAAATAACAGTTTCTATTTTAATATACTTTAAATATATTTTATCTATATACCTATAGATATAGGTCTCTTATTCTCACCAAGGCTGTATTTTTAAAAAAAATCAAAACTACAGTTAAAAATAGTAATGTTGTGCAATATTACAATTTCAAATAGCACTTTTCTATTTGAATATATTTCTAAATGTTATTTAGCCTATTCATATGATGCTCATTTTTTAGCATAGTGAATTTTCACCCTAGTCTTAAGCGTCACATTGATTCTGTAATTTTCTTTTTTTTTTTTTTACTAATATCTCCAGGTAGGCTGGCTTGCTCATTTATTTATCTATTGTTTATTTATTTATTTATTTATTTTTTTTACTAATTTTACGTGTAGACATATTGCTTAAAGTCATGGTTAGAAAAATGTGGCATGGTGTCATTATATGGCATAAGGTGTCACAAAAGAATCCGCCATAGGCTTTTCTGTTATATTTTAAATATGAAGTTCACACAAAAATAATAATTCTGTCATCATTTACACACGCTAATGTCATTTCAAAACTGATGTTTTCTTCTGTGCCACACTGAATCTCTGAGCTGCTCTTTTCCAAAACAATGTACAGCACCAAAAATCACCATAAAGTATCATGTGAGGAACATATAGAAATGTAAAGCATTATTCAGTGATATCTGAGTACGGACTACTTTTATGTTACCTTTATATCATTATTGGAGCGCAACAGAGTCCATTTCCATTTACTTTAATCGTTTAGAAAAGAGCATCACTGATATTGTGCTAAACCTCACACTTAGTGTTCCACAGAAGAAAGAAAGAAAGAAATAATGACAGAATTTCATCTTAGAATTTTTCCTACATGCAAAGTATTCTGGTTGGTGTTTGATTGCCCTTGATTCTCTCTTATAGACTTGTCTGGAGCTTGAGCGCTATCTGCAGAATGAGCCTTACGTCTCTGCAGCTGATCTGAGATCAGTATGCAAGTCTGACAATCTTTGGAATCAGTTTCTACGCTGCTGTGGGACTGAACCGAACTCATCCCTGCCGGAAGCTTCCATCCCCAAGCAGGACGGGATCGCTACGGCTTCCCATTTGCCATTCGGCAGCTGTAAGAAGATCACTGCATCTGCTGATGTGCTCACACACCCACTGGATCACAGCGTATCTGAGCAGCAGCATGTAATCGCACACACCCCCCCGACGCCGCCCTCACTCCCTCTCATGGAGGGTAAAGAAGATGCAGAAGGGGCGAGAGGGGATGAGATCAAAGGTGAGGGGTCATCTGAAGGACGAAGGAGAGCTCATCGCTGTTACTTCAACGGCTGCAGGAAGGTGTACACCAAGAGCTCTCACCTGAAAGCACATCACCGCACACACACCGGTAAGCAGTTTCTGTGTGAGCGTCTATAGTCCAACCTGTATTTTAATTTACTGTTGCCACAACAGTGTTCTCAGCTTTGGGAAACAAAACTTCTCCCATTTGGATCACGTTGAAAGTCGCTTCAATAGGCTGCCTTACAAAGCATTTTTTTTTTAAAACCACTCTTAAAGCGAAAGTTTTTTTTGTCTGAAGGTTCAGTAAACATTTCCATAAAAAATTTATTTTTCGTACTATTATTTCATATGTCAGGCTTTACATGGAATGCATGAACTCAATAAGTGTGTGCTTTAAATGCCGTGTAATTGCTTAAAAGTGTCTGCCAAATGCGTAAATCTACATGTTTCAGTGCATGCACAGTTTGCATTCATTCCCATGTAGCGCTGCTGTTGCATCACACTTGTTGTTGTTTGAAAATTTAGCATGCAGAGGTGGCTGTGTGACCTCCTCCTCTGGAGGCGAATGTTTGAAGAGTGTGTGTAAATGCAGTTTGGTGACTCCCTACATTCCTGAAATGCTCATTCTTCATGTTGCTGTCATACACTCTAGGAACATATTAGATTACTAACTGTTCCCACACTCTTCATCTTGCATGCAATCTAAAGAATGTTTGCAAACTCTACTAAGAACTAATAAAGATCATAAAGGAACCCAGATCACAGCAGAGAACACCATGGAGACGTGGGCTTGCGGGTTTGAACGTGCTCTAACATGTTGCACGTGACGATTATGTACCGAGTGACCCAAGTTTGATCTCTTTTTCTCACTAGTATGCGTTCATGTTGCCTTTTAGATGTCTTCTAAATTCGAAGTTTCAAAAACCTACAGAATTAAATCCCCCAAAAATCCGACACCATGGATTCTCAAACGTTTTTGTCAGTTAAACGAACCCCTTTGACCTAAAATACTTACTTGAAGAATTCCCTGAGATTAATATTTCAATAATTTAACAACACATTTGCATGTTCCTGGTCCTCTGATATCAGCTAACGGTCGCATGATATGCAGGTTAACAAATAGCTTTTTTATTAAAGGTGCAATATGTAATATTTTTTAATTAAAATTAGGGATGTAACGGTATGAAAATTTCTTATCACGATTATAGTGACCAAAATTATCACGGTTATCAGTATAATCACGGTATTGTTAAAATGTGCTGGAAATGTTCAAAAAGTACTGACACATAAATCATTTCACCAAGTTTTACATTTAAAATCAACAAACAACAAATAAAATGACCTTTTGTTTGCATAATCACTAAAACAATAACATTACCAATGAAACTGCTGCATACAGACTGAATGTAAATATAAGTCTATATATACTAGCTGACAGCAGGTGGCGCTTATGGAAAAGCTGAATTAGAGCTGTTTCCCGTAACCTCCGAAGAAGATGCAGAAGGGGCGAGAGGGGATGAGATCAAAGGTGAGGGGTCATCTGAAGGACGAAGGAGAGCTCATCGCTGTTACTTCAACGGCTGCAGGAAGGTGTACACCAAGAGCTCTCACCTGAAAGCACATCACCGCACACACACCGGTAAGCAGTTTCTGTGTGAGCGTCTATAGTCCAACCTGTATTTTAATTTACTGTTGCCACAACAGTGTTCTCAGCTTTGGGAAACAAAACTTCTCCCATTTGGATCACGTTGAAAGTCGCTTCAATAGGCTGCCTTACAAAGCATTTTTTTTTTAAAACCACTCTTAAAGCCTTCACAAAATCATAACAGCATGCTTTGAATGCAATTTAAGTTGCTTCAGATAAAAGCGTCTGCCTAATGTGTAGGCTAACTGTAAATGTTTCCTATTCACAGTTTCAGTGCATCAGCGTTATTAGTATTATTTATAAACTATTATAGTTTTTATTCAAATGTTAGCTTTTTTGACCCCATAAACCTACTGTATCATATTTTTAATGCTTAATATAATATATAATACCTAATATATCATAATTTGCACATTTTAAGACCTCTAAATGATCAACATAATCAAAGCGTTGCTGAAAACCTGCTGTACACAATCTACTACATGCCTTCTGTTGTTTCTGTGCACCATTTTTTTTTTTAGTTTGGGCCTCAAGAATATATATATATA